GTCCTTATGAGGAAGTAAAAACAAACCCGTGTCTGTGTGTGTGTGTGTGTGTGTGTGTGTGTGTGTGTGTGTGTGTGTGTGTGTGTGTGTGTGTGGAAGTCTTGTTGCTCAAACTGTGATGTTTCCAGCTGCAAACTGGTTTCAGTCCATGCTCTAATTGCTCTGAATCATCTGCACACACACAGCTGCAGCAGGACGTCTGCTCTCTGTCATCTGATTGATTGATGTGTTGTTTTGAACATGTGCTGAAACTTTTTTTAAATAATTCTACTCTTACTTTTAAAAAGAAAATTACATTTACTGAAACAAGGAACATTCCTATGGAGCCCGTCGTCAGGTGACATGGAATAAAAAACATTTTCACGTGACCATTAGATAATGACGCGTGACCATGAGATAATTATGTCGTGGCACCACATAGTCTGTTATTGTTGTCATTTCTGTGCATTGTTTGTTGTTTACACAGACAAGTCTGAGTTAAACTAATTTATTTAGATTTTAATAGAATKAATGACCTTGCTACATCAGCACTTTATGTTAGGCATGAARTAGTTATTTCTTAGCTTTATGTGCTGCAGCTGTAAGTCCCAGGTGACAACTGCAGTTGTTTATTTGTCGAAAAAGCTTTATTTTCTTTTTTTGATGCTCAACTTTCAAAAGGAGTGCTCCTGTCCCCCTGCGCCTCAGCTGTGGGAGGAGTCAGAGTTGTGCTGCGTTCAGGAACACAGTAAAAAGTCCTGGTAAGATAACGTAGTAAATATTGGTCATGTTTTCTACAGTTTTAAATGGGACCTGTTGTGCAAAATTCACACTTTTACATGTTTTTATATGTTGTATGAAATCACATTTATAAAGAGACAGGAGACTGGAGGAACCTGCCTCTGGCTGTAAAAATATAAAATAACATCTAATGTAGAGCCAGAGTCTGAGGACATTTACWGTCTCAAACATCAGTGGAGACAACTTCCTGTGGACTGTCTTATAGAGGGACAGACATGGACAAAGTTGTATTCTACTTCACTTTATAAATTATATTATAAAACTGTCCTAAGACAGGAGACATTATGTCTCGACTCTGTCCATTTGTCTGTCTGTGGACAGTTTTATCTGTCCGAGCTCTGCGTTGTGTATAAATGTCAAACTGGACAGTTGGACAGCTCGTGGTCCAGCTCCCATCAGAACATGAAGCAGCAGTGACACAGCCTGACAGACRTGACCTTTGACCTGTGTACTCTCACACCTGTGAGCCTCACCTTTTTGTGTGATAACTAGACTCAGCTTCCTCACTCGATTGTTCCTCAGGAACCTCCACTGACGCTCCATCCTCACCTGGCTCTCCGAGTCGTGTTCCTCTGGGATCTGAGGTCAGAAAGAAAAAAAAAAAATCCTGATTTAAACTTCAGAAGCRGAAGGAAGGGTTAACATTTCAAGAAGTCTGAAAGTTTCCTGTAACTTCTCCTTCTTTAGTAGAGTTTGGAGTTGGATTAACTTTGCTGCTGCGCTCATGAGGTTGCTGAGAAAATGAGTTAAGGTATCACATTAACTTTCTGTAATTACATCTAATCACATCCACTGAGCAGAGGGACAATATCAAATTATYAACTTTATTAAGTCTTACGCAACAAAACAGACCCCACAGACTATCAGTGAACAGAATAACTCTCTTATTAACTTGACATCTAATAGCAGTTTAAATTAAAGTCCAGATGACTGTATTAAAACCAGACTTGATAAAGTAAATAAACAGTAAAGCTGTTTGTGTGTAGTGGTTAAAGTCTGAGCTTATTAACAGCATTCCTGCCGTGAGGACTCCCACAGCCGCCGAATAATAAATACGCAGCTTTRAATCCAGCGGACCACATCACCACGTTGTGTCATCGACAACACTGTGACGAGCGAGGGTCTTCTAGTCAGGTCAACCTRTAATTCATCAGCAGCTTCTCAGGGGGCTTTTTGTTTCCTGACTAAGTGTGAGAGGAAGCAGATTTAGCGGTGAAACTCTGACGTATTCTCGCAGCTAAAAGAGAAAAATAAGTGTGTGTGTACCAAGGTAAAAGCCAGCTGATGTTTTCAGGGTTGTGGTCCTGCATTGTGTCAGCTGCTAATGTATTGCATAAAGACATGAGCGTGCRCTCTCCTTGGAGCTCTGCAACGATTTAACATTCGCTGAGATTAATCCTATAAAAGACCACTGAAAACCTTCAGAGCTGCAGCTTTTCATGATTCTCGCTCAGAGTCCCGGGCGAGCCCCCATTAACGTTACGACCTTTAACATTAAAACCAGGTGGAAATTGTTTTTTAAGACRTAAAGTGATTTATTTTAGTTAGTTTTAGACAAACAAAAAAACGTTCCACCTCTTCAGAACATTCCGGCTATGACTTCTGGTATTTCAGCTATTTAATTTTTTTAGCTATTTCACTTTTTCGGCCACATTTTTCCCATTAAAAATAAATTGAGCTGTTTTCAGCATCCTTAAAATCCTTCCAAATGTTTCTTAACCTTTACAGAACCTTACACCTTTTGTTCTGGTTCTGCTCTTTTTAAATTGCTTGTGCTAATTTATTTTTGCTGTTGTTAGTTTTAACTTTTTTCTGCTTCTTTCTGCTATTCTTCTATTTTCTACTTTTTCTGCTTCTTTCTGCTAATTTGAGCTGTTTCAGCTTCATACACATGCTTTCTTCTATATGTATGTATTTGCTGTCATTTTAGCTAATGTTCAGCAGTTATTAGCTAAAGTTAGCTTTTTAAGCTAAATACACATTTTTTGTTGCTATCACAACTTAAATCTGCTAAGTTCAGTAAACTTGTGCTCCTTATGCTAATTAAAGAATGACCAGCTATTTTTATCTGTTTTACTGCAAAGTTGAGTTGTTATGGCTATTTTACAACAAATTTTGTACTTTTCTGCTTTTTTTCTGCTAATTTGTTTTACAATACTTTCACAATCTGGGTGTGAATTTCAACCTGCTACCTTTAGCTAGTTTTAATGTTAGCTTATTTCTGCTATTTCAGCAACTACTCTGCTCCTTTCCGCTATTATTCTGCTAGTTTCTGCTTTTCATTGTGCTATTAAACATTTGCAGCTCCATTTCARCAACTTTCAGCTAAAGTTTTCAGCAACCAGCATTCATATTAGCATTTTYGCYGGAAATGCAATAAACAATTATTATTAATGTTTGTTAAACCAGGCAAAGACAAAGATCTAACTGTTCTTCTCGTCTTTGTCATCACTCCTCCCCCCCAGCACTGCAGCTGATGATCTGAAGATGTTCCTTCGTGTCCTGCTGACACACACATATGAGAACCGTTGTGCAGACTCACACAAGCACAGCTTCGTAATGGAGCAGAGTTTTRTGGCAACACTCAAGATTTCTGCAAACACAGCGTTTAGATCCACGCTCCTCCTCCTGCATCCAGTCTCCTTTTCATCAGCTCCGCCTTTCATCGTCCATCCCTTCATCCTGAGCTTCACATCACTTTAAATCTTCTGGTTTTCTCCTTACCTCCCACCTCCACCTGCTCCTCTTATCAAATATTTTTCTTTCATCATCTCCTCTTTTCTCAGTATGCACTCTAATTCACACAAACCTTCCTCCACTTTCCTCCTTAAACAACCAAAATGTTGTAAATATGTGTAAAACAAACAAGGTAAAAAAAAACTTCTTGACTTTTTACCCCACAACTCATTCCTTCTTTATTTCAGCAGAGGCTGACAGAATAATGACCTGAGGAGTTTACCAGCCCTGGTCTTATTGGATTTTGGTGCAGCTTTTAATACAGAGGATCAAAAGTGAAGAAAGACTGAAAAACTGGGTCAGGCTTGAAGAATCACCTCACAGCTGTCGGTCTGCGAGAGGAAACCAGACTAACTGGAGAAAACTCACATGTGCACGGGGCGAACATGTATTTAATTTGTACTTGATTTATTCAACGTGAAGTTTCCTTCTTTATTTATATTTGAGAACTACCACTCCCTCTCCCTTTAGGGGTCTCTTCCCTGTAGTCTTTATCACCATCAGCTGGACCAACATATAGAGCTACAGCTGATGTGAAAAACAAAAACAAGTTTACGTGACTTAAATCTGCGCCGGCTTCGAGACAAATTTAGAACGGAACTGAAGAMGTTCCTCCCAGTCTTCAAATGTGTCAACAGTCCAGACAGGAAATACTTTGTTTGTTCTGAAAACCAGGCTGGAAAGTGCCTCGGACCTACAGGGAGCAGCGAGCTAATGGCTGCCCACAAACCAAACAAGGTGAAAAGCTTTTTAGCCATTAAGTCCTTCACTGGAATCAGCTCCCGCCGGGACTCAGATCTGATCCAGCTGCAGCCACTTTAAGATCTAAGATTAACACTGTTCATCATGGCTCCTCAATAACATCTGCAGCTTTCATCAATCAGCTTTTAAAACATACTGTACAATAAAGTTTCAGCTGCTTTAAAGCTGAAAGAAAGTTTAAAAAATTAAACACATTTCTTCCAGATATTTAAAATYCCAAAGTTTTCCTTGGACTGAGGTCCAAACGTTCAGACAAATAAACTGATTTCTGGTTTTTATGAGAGCAGATGGTGGAAGGAGACACCTGAGAGCCAAACTGCTGCCTTATCCAGACAACAAAATGTGATTATGGCTCCAAAGGTTTGTATTTACCAGCTGCTGCAGAAAGGCACAAAGCAGCTATATCATTTCAGCCTGTGTCTGTAGTGTTAGCARAATATCCTATGAAGAAGTCAAAACCAACATGCTAAAAGAAGCAGATCACAAGCTGAAAGCTAAAACAGAACRTTCTTACAATGTTAGGTCTGAGGTGTACAAAAAATAAGAAAATGCCAGCTAAAAACTAAACGTAGCAGAGCAGTAACTAAAGGTTAAAAGTAGCAAAATATCAGCTAAAAGCTAAATGTAGAATATAATTAAATGCTTAATGTAATAAAATGCCTGCTACAAGCTAAAGGTAGCAGAGCAGTAACTAAAAGCTAAAAGTAACAAAATACCAGCTAAAAGCTAAATGTAGMATATAAGTAACTAAATGCTAAATATAATAACATACTAGCTACAAGCTAAAGGTAGCAGAGCAGTAACTTAAAGTACYAAAACATCAGCTAAAAGSTAAATGTAGAATATAAGTAACTAAATGCTAAATGTAATAACATGCCAGCTACAAGCTAAAGGTAGCAAAATGCCAGCTACAAGCTAAAGGTAGCAGAGCAGTAACTTAAAGCTAAGTAGCAAAATACCAGCTAAAAGCTAAATGTAGAATATAAGTAACTAAAAGCTAAAAGTAGCAAAATTTCAGCAAAAAAAAAAAAACTAAAAGAAACAAAAGACTAATGAAAAACTAAGTATCAGAAAGGTAGCTAAAAGCAGTAAGAGGCTAGCATAATGTTACAGGTAGCATAAAAAGATAAAGGATAGAAGACCAAACATGTTTCTGGTTTATAACTATAATTTATGGATTATCTAAGGCCTAAAGTGATGCTTTAATCTGGTATTTTTTGTTTCTCCAGTCCCTTATAAAGCAGGTAAATATGAACTGTTTGAATGTAAACTGTATTTTATTTATGATATCTTTATCTTGTGTTTGATACCCTCTGAACTGCCTTCATCTATAATGCTCTGTATGAATAAATGTGTCTAGAACAGACACATTTAGTGTCTTTACAAACAGCCTGTGGAGGGTTGGCACGTTGCTAAACTTGATAAAATCCATCCCAACATCTGGGTTTGACCAAATCACTTCTCTTCATCTTAAATTTCCCTGAGGAGGAGGAAGAGGAGGTTACATTACGGAGCTGCAGATCTCAATTATTCAGTGAAGCCATCTTGAAAAAGTGGCAGGTGTGTTTATTTGTGTTTTTCCCTCTCTCTTATTGGTCGACTCCTCACCGTTGTTTTTTTCAGTTCATTACTCTTTGAAATAAATTCCAACACAGAGTTCAGACCTGAACCGCTGCAGAGAGCGGGGTAAACAAACAGCTATGATGAAAATCCACATGAATATGTGAAAATATGAGGTCGTACTCTTATTGTTTGTTGCTTAGCAACAAAGATGGAGGATAGTTTGAGCGCTGGTGAGTTTAGCTTTTAGAGTAAACACAGGAAGTGGACAACGAGAGGAGAAAAGTGACGTAGAAACAAAGCTCATTTCCTGTTAAGAAGCTGCTTTAGTAAGGATCTGCCAGCTTGTTTTCCCTCCAGCTCCTGGGAAGAGTTGATGTTTTCTGAGACTTCACTGCAGGAAGAAGAAGGTAAAAGGTAAAAACCTGCCACCCACCTTCATGACAGGCTGAGCNCACACAGACCCGTCTGCAGGGCTGGACTGATGTAGTTCCTGTGGCCCCCCGACTCCTCGCCRTCTTCAGCTGCCTGAACACAAACAGAAAGAGAAAATAACTGCCCCGCTCCAGAGCATCAGCTGCTTACAGCCCGGGTTTGCCCCATCACCTGCTCCGGGCCCTTGTCAAACATCTTGCGGGTTCGGGGGAACTGGTGCGAGTGCGGCGCCTGCCCCCCCAACGTCGGGGTGTAGGGGGGGCGGGACGCTGGCGGCTCTCTGGCGGCAGGTTTGGGGACTTCGTTGGTCAGGCTGGAGCTGCTGGTGCTGGGCATGGGAGGGGAGCCACTGGAGGGGCAGAGAACAAGAATCAAACTCAACTGTTTGATACTTATCAGTCGGTTTGACTCATTCAGAGCTAAAGTTTCATGTGGTAGTAGCTGAGAGTCATTCACAACACAGACAGAGCGCCACATCTCAAAGCTCAGAATGCTGCTTTCAAAGTTTGACAAAAGTTTTAGATCTACACATAAACTGTAAACATATAAAACAAGAGAAACTAGCTACTTAAAACTAGCTATTAGCTAAAAGGAGAAAAACACTAGCCAAAAGCTAAAGGACAAAAAACACTAAAAGTAGAAAAATGCTATTAGCTAAAAGCTAAAAGTAAAAAAGACAGTAGGTAAGAGCTACAAAAGCAGAAGATTAAYTAAACGAAGCAAAACACTAACTATAAGTAGCAAAAATGCTAGTTAATAGCCAAAAGGAGAAAAACATTGGCTAAAAGCTTAAATAAGTAAAAGAGTATCTAAGAGCTAAAGAGTAAAACGCAAAGTAAAAGTAGCAAAAATGCTGACCAAAAAAGGAAAAGTAGCCGTACCGAGCTAAAGTGAATACAATGCTAGCTGAAATCTAAAAGGAACAAAACACTAACTAGACAAAGCACTAAAYGCCAGCTAAAAGGTAAATGTACCATCAATACTAGCTATAAAGTAAAACTTTATTCCTATATAGAACAACTTTATAAGTTAAGTATAAAAAACAACAATCACAGCTGAAATGTCCTGAATGAGCCAAACACTGAGACGTGTAAACGGTTAAAAGCTTTCAGCAGCAGATCCCTGCAGCGTGAATCAAGATTTACACAGTAAAATAAAAAATAAACTCTTTTACCTGCACAAATAATCAAAGCACACAATGAAACATCAGCTGTGGGGCTGTAACTTTAACATGTGTTCGGTGTTGTGTGTGTGTGTGTGTGTGTGTGTGCGTGCATGCGCACAGTGTTTCCTCACCCCGCCTGGTGGATGTGTGTGCCCTTACTGGTGGGGCTGGCCGGCGCCGACTGTGTGAGAGACCCTGAGTCCAGGATCCTCTGAGGTCTGGCGTTCATCGTCGCCTGGAGGGAAAGAAGGTGATTGTTTTTCTTCATCAGCACACACCAAATTAAAACAAACAGTTTTCAACCGTTTCACAGGCTGTCAGGCCTGGAAGCAACACCTCAAATCTGGTTACTGCTGTAACTGCATAMGAAGTGCAGCACTTTACAAACTTTGCCTAAATCTGGAGAACTTCATCTCATTAGGTGATGCAGGTAATATAACCTCTTTATTGTGAGTTGTCTAACAGATGCACACGAGGGAGGGCTAAACCTAATAAGGACAATAGAGGCAAAGCATCATTGATGAATAGCAGAATTGTTGTTTACTGAAGCCGGGCGCAGAGAAAACTCTGCTGCGTAAATCTTGTTAGCACAAGCAAACACACTTTCACTGGCTGAGATTGCCTTCCATTTGATTTATATGCTAATTACAGAAATGTAGCCCGTATCTTTTGTTTGTTTGGATGCTTAAAAGGCTGGAGGGAGACAGGAAAGTTTAATGCACAGCTTACACATACTGTATGTGATCTACAGCACTTTAACAGGAGAGATATATCAGCAGCAAGGCTGGAGACGCATTAAGAGGCTGCTGGTTCCAAGGTTCTCATGGATCCTCAGYAAAAACTTTTAGGGTTTCACTTCTCAGGACTTAAATATAACATCTGACCTTTACCAGGTTCTAAAATTATTTCAATCTAATCTAAAGTTCTAACGCTGCAGGTGAAGGCCCGCCTCGTCAYCTTAATGTTTGAAGGTTTTATTTCAGGTGAGACCAAACGTAAACAAACAGGAGAGGAACAAATATGAACACAATCCACTCAAAGGTTTAAGGACTCTGCATGACGATGTGGAGGTTAATTAAAGCTCGTTAGGAGGGGAAAAGTCCGATGCCAGAATAACAGATCCATAGATCTCATCCAGGTATCAGGCAGAATTAAACGACGATGAAAAAGCGTTTAATGTTCTCATCAACCAAGAAGCGAGTACATTTTAATTAGCTGCTGACCTTGTTCACGTTGTAACAAATCAATAACATCTGGCATTTCAAATCTTAATTAAAGGAACTAGATTCCCTGTTAGTCTGGCGTTAACGCTCCTGAATTATCTTTCATTAAGTTCATTCCTTCAGTTCAGACGAGGAGTTCGGACGTGCAAAAACAACAACAAAAAACGAGGGTACACGTCGTTTAATATTTGTTTTGTTGCATATTTGTTGTGCTTTTTTAATTGGTTTGCCTAAAACAATCCAGTCTAATAATTAAATCAAAGAGAAAGAAACCTTTTCCCTATTTTTAATTTTGACCCTTGAAAATAAAACAGCTTTTCTTTTACTGATTTGCACATGAACAGAAACACAACAGATGACAAAAATATGTATAAAAATAAAATAAAATAAAATTTTAGTATGTGTAAATGAGTTCAGACCCTTTTAAACACCCAACCRTTATGTTCAGAAGCTCAGAAATAAACAAACAAGTAAATAAGTAAAAGCAGTCATTAGGAGGAACTTTTTGGGGGGCATGTTGCCCCACCTTTAGCTGCGGGTTGAAAAAGTGAAACCTCATTGGTCCGTTGGTTCATAACAAACCTTGTAGGCGATGCTGTTGAGGACCTTCATGGCCAGATCAGAAACCTCTGGGAACGGGTCGGCAGCCAGGTGCAGCAGAACTCTCCAGATCTGAGTGTAAACGCTGTTAAAGGACACACCTGAAAAAACAAACAAACAAAAAGTTCAAACGAGGCAAAAAGAAACGTTTGGAGTTAATTTACAGACAAACTGTTACTGGTTGTTTCTGCAGCTTTTTGATCAAATCTAGTTGCTTCTAACTCTAAACTCAAACGGTCTCTTATTTCTCATGTTGTACACATTTATACACAGATTCCTGTTACTGCCTGCATTTTTGATCTAATAAAAGTGGTTTGTCTGTCATGGCTGACTACTTCATTTGGTCACTTTCTAAATGTTTAGTTTCTGATCTGTTTCGTTAGTTAAAGGCCGTTAATCAGCTGCAGATCCTGAGTTCAGTCAAACGAGTCATTTCACTTTAAACCTGAACATTAAATTCATCTCATCTCCTTTATTTGATTTGAAATTTTGTGATTCTCTCCTTCATCTGAGGAGCACCTCAGTTCGTTCTGCTTCCTCCACTGTGAATGAATGTAAAACGTTCTTCGGGGAGATTTCTTTTCCTGCTGAATATTTAATATATTCCCTCTTTTTTTAAAGCTCACATAATCACAGTGCAATGTTAGCTGAGCTTGATTCCGTTTGCCTGGATTTCAGAGGCAATAAAAAAGTGATGCAGTGGGTCATTTAGTCGGTGGTTAACATCTTTACGAAGCTACGTCGGTGTGACCGGGTTTAGACGACATGAGAGCGGGATMGGGAGGCGGCGCCGCAGCCACTGAGTAATATTCACTGTGGTGTCCCGTCACGAGGAGCACGAGGACGCGCTGCGGCGGTAATTTGTGTGCACTCGTGATGCAGAGCAGCAGTTAAATGGGAGAGGAGCGGTATTTCACATTTATCAGCTGGCAGTTTACTGCAGCTGCGAGTGCGCCGGCTAGCTGTCGCTAATCACATCCTTCCCCTCAGGCTGAGGTCTAATCACCTCTTTAACTCCTCTCGCTCCRGCTTCACTCAGCTTTTCTTTGCTTCGTCTTCGTTTCATTCACTTTTGACCGTTTGTTTGAGATGATTCACCATTGACGCGCCTCCTGTTCGTTTCATTTCACTTCAGTGTTTGTCCTTCTAACTGTGGCCGGCCATCTTTCTTCCTGCTTAAATCAGCCCTCACTGCTGTCCCTGTTTGAAGCACGCCCTATTGAAGCGCTCCCCGAGGACGAGACGCCAGAATAAGAGGCTTCAGACTTCAGCCGCTCTCTGCTTCACCGTCTTTAAAAGCCTGAAGAGCTGGAGAGGAGAAGGATCAACAGAAAACTTTCTAACGCCTCAATTAGCTGTTAGCACAATATCTCAAGAACCACTGGACGAACTTTAACGAGGCATTTCTTCACGGCTGCATTTACAAGATAAAAATCTGAACAATCTTCCTCTTCTCTGCAGGTTGGTTTAAACGTGCAGAGAAGATGGCGGCTCGTTCTGGGTGTGTGTTGGCACACAGTGGAGCGGGCGGGGGGCCAAAGAGTCTTTAAACCTGCCGACACAGGAACCTCATGCCAGCATTTAGCTGCTGGAGCGGCTTTAAACGAGCATCAAATGTTTGATTTGTTGGATGAAAGCAGAACGAGAGCTGGGCCGGCGATTATTTTGTCTTTTCATCAGATTCATTTCCAGGTTTTCTGTGTTTTACTAAAAATAAGGGCGAGCCCAGGCTGGGTTTTAGCTTGAATCTGATTATTATTTGTTTCATTAACACATTTCTATATTTAACCTTTAATATTCAGGGAGAAATGTGTGACTTTGAACAGATTTGTGAAATTTAAATTAAAATTAAAAATCTAATCCATTCATTTAGAGGAGAGATAAAGAGTTTAAACAAAAGCATAAAACTGAAGACATCAGTGAGAAAAAGCTGGAGCCGTCCCATCAGCTGGGAGGAAATAAACAGGATCAGGTGAACCAGTTAGTCTGGTTTACAGAGACTGAACCCCCTCATGGGGGGACGTCTCCAAAGGACCACCACATGAACCTCAACATATCCTCCAGTTTTGTTTAAGTAAAGTCAAAATGGAATAAAATGGAATAAGTTATTTTTATGCAGCAAAATCAATAAACTTTTTATTATTTATTTTTCAAACAATAAAATTTTTATTTTATAATTTAAATTCTATTATTTTATCT